AAAATGTTAAATACAGGCAGCACCAGATTAAATGCAGAGTTCAACAGATTAGGCTCACTATGTGCTCACCCTTAGCTAATGAGTAATACATTTTTATAAAGGAGTGGAAGTTTTCACAGATTAATTAACAACCTACCTATAAAACATTCTTAGCCATTTACAGCAGGAGCCTCGTTGTAAGTTGGCACTGACCTATTATATAAACAAATATTCTATTTGCTACTTTACTTTTAGCTGTTTATGTACTACGTTTTAAAAGCATTTGTATGACATAGCATTGATGTAGAGCATCTTTATTATGTCCTTACAGTTTTATATTAACCTGCCAAATGACTAGAGACGAAAATTAGCGATCAGCAATCTCACATATTTACTCTGTTAATTAATATTTGTCCCTTTTTATATATAAACAATAAAAGAAAAATTTAAAAATGCAGTTTTCAAATAAAAAAAATACCCAAACTAATCATCAGTCTACATACTGGTTGCTAAAAGTCTTTATCATCAAGCTATGCTTTGTGGTGTTTTGGGTCAGCAGTGGTTCTAGCGTTAAAATTCGAATATGGTGGTCATTTTTGCCCATTCTCTCTTCCTTATTGTTAAGTCGTGAACTCTGACCTCATATAGACACTAAAGGGTGCTTGTGTTTAGCTGTTCTGGGGAGGGGTTGCGGGGGCTTCCAGCCTGATGGATCTCACATTATTTTTTATTCTCTGCATATTGGGAGATGTGGTGTTGCTTTTAAAAACTTCTTAGCCTACTTCCGTTTGTCTGGTAGGCTCTGGTTCTGGATGTCACTAGTCCTGGGTTTGGCTTGTGATCCCAAAGTGTGGTTCTCGTTAAGTTAATGCATGACTTTAAGAAAGTATATTGTTTGACAGATTTCCTCAACCAGTGGAATCATCTTTTAAAAACCACAACCTCCTATTTTTGTTGGATATTCCGATTTCTTTAATCTGAAATAGTAAAAACAGAAATGTGTAAGGAGTTAAAGACTTATTTACCGCACCGTGAAGCTTGACCTAAAAGTCCAGATGGCTGTTAGCTGAGATCTGTTGTTTAAAGCTACAAGTTTAACTAAAGGAATTAGTCCAGCCAGCAGCCACCTAATAACATCCACCGCTGGGCTCGGCTCAGGTTCTGCAGCATGTGTCTGTAGGCAGGATAAATTGTTTTGCATTTTCTCTCTGTTTGGTTGTGACAACAGAAGCTTCATGGTATGAACCCTCATTTCTGAATGCTTTGAATACAGCAGACTGATACACTGTGAAGTGGAGAAGTGCAGGTATATCCACTGAGAGAAATGGGAAGTGCTCGTCTCAGTTTAAGCTGATTAATAATAGACTTCCTGTCATGTAGGTTACTGCAAACTAATCGCTCACTGTTAGTTGAAAATTAACATCTGGTGTAAAGACAAATCCAGTCTGTATCTGCAACATGTTATCACATAGTGCTTTTTCATTAATATTTAAGAAAAGGTTGTTGTCTTTGCTTCTTGGTTCCTTGTCAGCATAACCGAACCCTTTTGGACGTCTGACAGAATGCGCCATGTTAAAGCAAACCAACGGTGACAAGCGGCTGTTGTCGTTCCATCTGTGATGGGACAGATGGCTGTCTCCGTCACATGTTAAGTGACTGATGGGAGAGATTTCTTTCTGCATACTTGGCTTGCCACGTGCTTTAGGGTGTGTGCTTGTTTGTATGCGAAAAGTCAACCTCACTCTGTAGAAAGCAATAAGCTATCAGTTATTCTCATCCTGATGGTTATGTAAAACCTGGGCCAGTATCCTAGTACGTGTTTATCTGTTGTAGTTTAAGGTACCTTATGTACAGCAGATACAATCTGCCCATTTGTCAACAAATTTTGTTTGTGTTCTGCTTGATTTAATTGGTGCCTCTATCTGTTTTTAGTTGGTTGGTTGTCAAGTATGAAGAGTTTTGTTGTTGTTTTAGACTTCTATAATCCTGCTAGATCAATAATAGTCATACAGCGGGATACAATTTGGAGAAAATTAACTGATTCATTTCTACAGCTAGTTTAATATTTAAGGGTTATTGTAGATGTTTTCTTTGTTCTGATGAAAAGTGCCTGCAGACAGATTAATCACAGCAGGATTCTTTTGCTTTCATCTGCCTATGTTGGCTCATTATCTAACAGGTGATGAAAGGATTTGGCCGGTTTGAAGCTGAGCGACCAACTCATGGATGTCTAACTGTTTTCGGCAAGGTGTACAGTTGCTGCTTGCAGGTATCGAACCGGTGACCTTTCAGTTGAAAGCTGCCTCCCTGCAGAGAGGTGCTGAGGCTTCTCATCTGAATGTGGGCAGGTGCTGCTTTTAGAAACCAACTGAAATCTGATATAGAAATGGCTCATTTAAATTTACTGCCCCTACCGCTCAGCAGTGGGCAGTCAATGGATGTGGTGTGATGGGTCTGAGTTTTAGCTTTCCTGTTTCTGTTGTGAGACCCGTTTTCCAATTCATCACAGATCTTCACAGGTAATTGCATATGTAATTGGCTGATTAAATGTGGACTGGTAGCCTGCTTGCAATTTGCTGCTGTAAACTTTTGAAAATCAGAAAATATAACTATTTAATAGTTTATTGATTTACAGAGAGGATTTTTTTTTTAATGGTTCGGAGAGTAAGCTTGGCTCAGTTATTACAGGTGGTGACCTAAAGGATGATTAGCCCATAAAGAGTATCCTGGTACTGGTTCAGCTTTGATATATCAGGATATCCATCTAAAAACAAGTTAAATTTGGCTGCATTTTATCTATGAAACATGGAATTAGAACAGAGAACAGCTTCAGTCTGATTTTAAAGTAGGGCTTGCTGCTGGTTCAGAATTTTGGGTCCTCTGATCGCATGTGTGGATGTGTTCACCCGCCTGTCTTTAGGTCTGATTCAGGTGGAATGTGTTGGATCTAAAAGGAAGAGATGGCATTGTTCTATTTAGACCTTCAGAATTAGCCATTTTTGTGCACACAAGCAAGACATTAGACTTCAACGGATTACAGTAAACGCAGTCCGCTTTGTGTCCCAGCAAAACAGCTGATGAATATGTGCATCATCCACTTGTTACATTTAACATATGCTGGAGTTTAATTTTAGCTCAGTTTGCTCTGAGTATTTGGCTAGAGAAACAACTTTAATCCTCAATAGTAAGAACTTTGACCCAGTACAAACATTTCCTATGAAACAAAGGGATTTTCTTTAGCTTTTAAAGAGGCTTACTTGCTGAAAACGCCAGCTGAGCTGTTTTGGGGAGGGAAAGAGGCTGAAGAATGCTTTTTTAGTCAGAAGTCATTAAAAGCAAACACATAGCTGCTGAAACCAAGGTTTAGTTAATGAACTTTTGGGGAAACAAACTCTGATGAAGCCGTCATCATTGTTTTGTTTTGATTGCGGATTAAAAAACTCAAACCCAAAGGAGAAAAAAGATGCTTTTAAGTTTAATATCTTTAGGGCTGCAACTAATGATAACTTTCCTTATCAATAAATCTTTATTGATAAATAATCTGGTAGCAAAAGGTTCCTTAAATAATAATAATAAATATAAATTACCTTTTTTTTTTTTTTTTTTTTTTTTTTTTTTTTTTTTTTTTACAGACAGTTAACTATTAATCGATTACTAAATTTGTTGACAATTACAGCAATAATTTATTAATCTGATTAATTGTTTAAGCCCTAAATATCTTTATGAACATGTTGCAACTTGCTTTTGTAACATTATAAACTCAGTATAATGTAGTAAAATGAAGCTGCTTTCTCAACCTACACAAATTTATAAATGTTTACTGGGGGTAGAAACCTCTGGTTTTTAGAACTTTAAATGCCTGGGGTTTTGTACATGTTTTAATATAGAAATTAATAACGATGAAGGGGCCAATAAAGGGAATCATACTTAATGATTAACGTTATAAAAGATGTTCTGCCAGGTTTGTATCTTAAACCATAACTTGTTGCTGTTCTTGTGCTTCATCAACTTATTCCGTTGTGGAAAACTTGTGGTGTTAATGTTTAAATATGCTGACATGTTTCCCAGTGGAGATCAGTTAAGCTGCAATTCTGTGCAGATACTCAGTCATCTGGATCATTGCAACTACAGCAGCCTCAAACCCAAGGCAACCGGACTTTAGTTCAGTTTTCATGAACACGTTTGAAGACTCCTGGACGGAAGTCTAAAGGTGTTCAAAAAAAGAAGCTAAGTTCCAGTTGCCTCTAGTTTAAGGCTGATTCAGCAAGCAGTTAAACTCTTCTTTAGTTTTCATGCTGCTAGCCACATGTAGAGATTTAATTCATGCTCCCATGTTTAGCCTTGAATGTCACAGTAATTGTAAATGTAAAAATGTTTATTCTGCTGTTTCTACCTCAGACATTGGTAAAACTTTCCAAACCAAAAAAAAAAGAAATCTGATTTCATTCTTGAACTGCTTCAACCAATAAATATGTTATAATAATGTCAGTTGTGTTTGAAAATAATAGGGGAAACACTTTTTTGTAAAGATAATATTTTTTCTCCTGGTTTAAGATTTCCTTTTTTCTTAGATTTTTTTTAGATTTGATTTGCTTTTTGGATTTTGACTATATCTGATTAATATTTATTTAAATGTACTGATTTGTGAATGTTTTAAGGACTAATGTTCAAATGAAATCTCATCTTAAGGGAGATGTCGCCTCTAAGGTAGAGCAGAGCAGTTGAGTTTTGAAAAGGCTGCAAGCATCTGATTTGGTCTCCACAGGCTGCCACTCTGACCCTGAGGCACTTAAAGACGCTCAATGCTCTCTAAGGATCCACTTTTCATTGGAATGTAAAAATTCTAATGACAAAGATTTGTATATCCTCCATGCAGAAACAGACTGTGGCCTATACAATCTGTGTGGGTATAAAACAATGTTTATCTGGGAAACTGCGGAATGTTAATTTGAAGGGAAAAAATTGCTTTCTGACAGTATGCTAACTGAAAATGCTTCGTCTTTCCTTCCTTTTGTCCTCAGTGAAGCTAGAAGAGAGTCCTGCTAGAGGATTAGCGGTCTGTCAATGAGGAACTACCGGCTCATCTTTTGCCACAACCTGAAGCAGCCATAGATGGTCCAGTGGTCCACTGGCCAGAGGAGGAGAAGATAGGACACACTGTCACTGCTACACGGTAAATATACGCAACACTTACACCAGTTTGTATTTCTACCAATATTGCAACTTTCTATTAGAAAAATCTATTTAATTTTGCTAATAGCACACCGGACATTTACCCAACCCAGTATATTTCTGACCTTAACTTAATTCACAACATAGCTCTACAATAAACCCCTAACATTAATTATCAGATAAGGAAATACACCAGAAAAGGTCCTAAATATGTAACATGAACAATTACACACACGCAAAGCAAAATCCAGCTAGGTAATTTCAGATATAGACAGATGTTGAATGGAAAACTCGAGCTTGTCTATAAGATCAAATTCAAACTTCTAATATGTAGATATATGTAAATTAAATAAATGAAATACAAAGTTAACTGAACTTGTAAATTATATATTTTTAACGTGTGACTGTCCTTTTAATTCAGATGCAAATTGAATTATATTTAATAACTTGTTTCCTACCTTTTGCATTGGATATTTTTTAGTTGCAGGAGAAGCAGTTCAGTCTGCTGGCTTGTTTGTCTGTGTTGACCCTTCTGCTGGCTTCCTAAACCTCAGATAAAAAGCACTGTTTTCTTATGCCATTGCTAAGATCCCATTTTAACAAGCATTTAATAAGCTCAAGTAAGACATGAAAACATGTTTGCTTTTGCTCTTTAACTGGCCCCCAGAGGCTGCCTTCATTTGAATAGCCATGAATTTATAATGTAATTTAAGAAGATGTTTTTTTTTAAAGGTAAACATAGATAATATACAAAATAGTGCTTTAAACTATATACACAGCACAATCCTGCTTTGCATGTTAATAAGTTATTGAGCTTGTTGGAACTACTTTAGATCCTTGCAATGATCGCATATGATGGTGTGCAGGAAGGTAAGAATCACAGAACAGTGGAAGCATCACAATGAGGGTTCCAAAAGTTAGAAAGAAGGCCTGACGTGATATAATTTCAACGGATAAAGTTATTGCCATAACTGACAAAAAACAATGATTTCATGATTTCTTATAATGTAGAACCATCACAAATGTTCTGTAGACTTGATGATGAAGGAGGAATTTAAACTAGCACAAAAATTAAGATGGCTAATTTTAACATATGAGGAAGTAGGGAGTCTTGTCATTGCTCATCAGAACAGCAGTATTAAACTAGTCTTTGCTTTGAAATGGTTGTGGGGAGGATTGAGGTTTCATTCTGTCATTGTTTCGCCTAACCAACCTCCGCATTGAAAGAATTCTTCCTACATTTTTTATGTAACTTTTATTGTAGATGGTGCAATTTAATCATGTTCATATAGTTTAACTCTGGGTCAAATTCAAAACTTGTACATTTCCTCAGTTTTTAACTACTGCACCGTAACAGTACTGTGACTGAAACCGAACATTTGGTGATGTTCCTCCTCCATCTGATGAGTAGACTCTGCGCCATCTGTCTTTGTTTGCATTAATATTCCTCACCAACTGACTGAAATCAACATAGAAGAAAAATTAATCCTGCAGATTTTTTTACCTGGCGCTTGTTTTGACTTTCAACTCATTCTTTATTATTCCAAATTTTAAGAACATAACAGGGTTTATTTGCCTCTTGTTACAGGTATCAAGCTTCTTTACATAAAAATATTTCTTCTCCCTCCTCTATAGACCACATCCACTGATGTTTTATATAATTTGCTGGTGTCACCTTTTTATTGTTTTGTTTATATTTCCTTTTTGAAGACGTGAGGTTTCAGCGGGATTGTGGAGAGGAGGAGGCGGCGGAGGAGGAGGCCATGAGGAAGAGCGTGTCTCCATTGCCAGGCAATGAGGGCGAGGGGTCAGCCGGCACCACTCGGGTTTTCGGCATTCCTTTGGAGGAAGTGACCCGCGCGCACACGGTCAGCGGAGTAGAGGTTCCTGCATTGGTCAAACACCTGGTGGACTACATTGAGGAGCACGGTTAGTGACAGCAGCACACTCCAAGCCTGTAGTCCAGCAATGCATCATTTCTGAATCCAATCAAATTACACAAAGCTCAATTAGCAGATGCTTGAACATGTATTACCATTTAGCAGGAAGATATCAAACTGCACAATTAGTCAGATCTCAGATAAAGTCTCAGATGTTTTTAGGATCAAGGCTCCAGTTGACCTCTTGTGACCTGTGGCTCTGCCACAAAAGAACCAAAGTATGTGAGACTGTTAGATGGAGCTGTGAAGACAGCATCAGATAGCTCCACCCTTGACTTCCTTTTTCATTACATAACAGTTTTTTTTTAACTTCAGACGCATCAAAAATCCAGACCTGATAAGGAGCAGACTGAAGCCTCCCGCACCCATTCTTTATTCTTCTGTGCACTGTATGTCTGGAACCTTCTGGCTACAGGAATTCAGTAAAGTTTTGCAAATAAGAAATTTGCTAGAGTGAGGGCGAAGGAAAAAAATATATTTTTCATTTGTAACTCTGTTAATCTAACATAAAAATCAGTTCAGTGGAGGCAGAGCTTGAAGCACCAGTAAGTTTCTCATTTTTAACACAAGCATGGGTCTTTCTGAGGTTTCCATATTCCCCTTGTGCAAATATGGGTTCTCTGAGGTTCTCCAGCATTGTGGCACAGTCCAAGGACATTCTTATTAGGTTAACTGTTGAGAATGTCCATGGTTGCTGTTTTGGTTTCCCGGTGGAAAAACTGGAAATTAGGCTTGTCCCGATCCGATCCACGTATCGGATCGGGACGCCGATATTGGCAAAAAAATGCGTATCGGCAAAGCATGTAAAATGCCGATCCAGACTGCCGATCCAGTTTTTAAAAAAAAATCCAGTCCGTATTTTCCAGTTTCGCCGATTGAAACGATCCACTCCCCTATTTTGCGCCAGTGTTTCCCTGTTTTGCATTTTTATTAAAACTTACAGTAATACTTGCACCTTTAACTGTTTACGGTTTTACTGTTCACTGTGCAATTTCAGATTGCTATTCATAATTTTGTCCAGTTTGTTTTTATCTCTTAATAAACAGATAAGTTTGTTGTTACCAAGCATTGTGTTTTATTCAATCTCACCTAATTTAGCTGACTAGATGTTATCAAGAGTACTAAAACCCTTTTCAACATGAGTCTTACAACTAAGGCTAAATACTTTAACTTAAACTTAAATACATGCTCGGATAGGCTGGTATCGGCCAGTATCGGTATCGGATCGGAAGTCCAAAAACAGTATCGATATCGGATCGGAAGTGCAAAAATCTGGATCGGGACATCTCTACTGGAAATAGAATCCATCCCTCCATGAGAACGGAAGGATTTATGTTTAATGAATGAAACCTTTAGGGTTTTTAGAAGCTCTTAAACAGCAACATGATATAAGAAATAAAAAATTCTAGAAGCTTGCTGAAGACCAATTTAGGTTCAGGTTTAATATTTAATGATTAAAAGAGGAAAAAGTCTATAGACTGACACTGTTACCCTGATGTGTTTATCTCCTCTTAAAAGACAGTGATGGATGGATGGTACTGTTCTGAATCCAGGATGTCAGATCAAAACAGTTCTGCAGTAAAAGTTGAACAAAAGAAAATTGATGTCCCAGTGCAGTCAGAACACAAAGAGTTTTCATGGAAAGATTTTCATTGTTGGAATCCCCAAGTAAGGTCTGAAGCAGGTTGGCTTTCTTTGGGAACCAGCAGCTGTTCAGCTGTGAGAAGTTATGCAACAAGCTTAAAATCCTCTGGAGTCTCAGCTGGAGAGATAATTGAAGCAGTGTCTGCTTTCAGGAAGTCCTTTAGCCCTGATCTCTCCTGCTTTGTGTGTGATACCTCAGGTTTTATTGGAAATCTCCTATGAGTTATATTCCTGTATTTTATGTTATGGATCAGTGATTAGGGAATAAATCCATCTCTGTGTTGTAGCCAATGTTTTTGTCTTAATGTCTTAATCTAATGATACAAATAATACAAACATGAAACATGAAAGAGAAACCATTTATTCTGTCCGATTCCTAGATCAGCGCCACCTTGTTGTAGCTCAGTGTCTCTGCGCTTCATGAGGTCTAGTTTGTGGTGTTATAAAAGGGAATCCAGCCCACAGGACTCCTTTTAGGCATTTGGGCTGGAACAGTGTGTTATCTGGCTCACTAATGGATGAGAGACCAGGGCGCAAACAGAAGGCGCCACAAAGAAGCTGTTTCATAATCCTCATGTTACAAAATAACTGTTACATGCATTACATCTACTGTTAGCTGCGTGCAGGAGCTGTTGTGTGATTTATGAGCATTCCTCCCCAACCGAATCTGGAGAAAGAGATTGAAATCTGTTGTAATTTGAATTAAACGGGCCCTTTGAAAGACTTTCCATTAAAACCTGGGGGTTTGATTCAGAAGCTGGAAAATAACTGCTGCTGTTTGTGTCATCAGGTCAGCTGGACTTTGAGGGACTCTTCCTGGTGAACGGCAACGCGGAGCGAGTGGATTGGCTGCGTCAGCGCTACGACAGTGGCGAGGAGGTGGAGCTAGAGAAGGAGGCTGATCTGGCATCAGCAGTCAGTTTGCTCCGCCTCTTCCTGCAGGAGCTTCCTGAGCCGGTCATACCAACGGCTCTGCAAGGACACATACTTCAGCTTTACCAAGGTATGTGGCAGGGACACACCTCGCCACCAAATCGGCTAACGCCTTTTAGTAGGCTGGCGAAACTGATAACAGAAGGAATGTGGGGCTGGGTTTGTTGTTTACCTGCTTTCACTTCTCTGGCCTGTTGAGTAACACAAATGAAACAATAGTATGAGGTTCTCAAAGTAACATGGATCTGAGATTCATTTTTATTTGAGACTTATGAAGGTTTTTCAGTCTTCTCTAGTAAAAGTTAATCATTTGATCAGATAAAATGCATCATTGATGCTTCAGTTGTCAGTTTTTACAATTAAAGTTCAGTTATAGAGGTTAAAAAGACCATTAACTAAATGGATCACATGTTTTAGGATTTATTCTGTTAGGTTCAATCCTTTTCAGTGTCGCTTTTACTCTAATCCTTGTGTCATAAGGATTTCTTTCCTCCAGTCTGCTGTCAGGTAGATTATTCTAGATCTTATGTGGAAATATTGTTTCCTGGTAAAAGTTCAGATATTTGTAAATAAACATGCAGGACTCACTGATCCATTTATTACAGTAAAGGGTATTAATGGTCCTTTCTGATGCGCTGCTTTAGAAGGAAGATGTGTTCATTAGGATTCCACATCTGTTCCCCCTGTAAATATTTGCACCAATCTTCTGTCTCCTAAACACAGATTACAGCAATGAAGAAGAGCTGTGTAGAAACCTGAAGTACCTGCTGCAGCAGCTCCCCCATATGAACTACGGCCTGCTCCGGTTCCTGTGCCGCTTCCTGGCCAGCGTGGCATCCCTTCAGCCCGAGAGTTGGAACGTCGGGGCGCTGGCCGCCGTCTTTGGACCAGATATCTTTCAGTAAGATGTCTCTGAACGATTAACCGATCAGTATCAATAATCAGTGAGGAAAATACAGATGCTACGGGATATTGAAGTTTCTCTAACCTTACAAAACGGGTAGTTTTCCTATTGTTTACTGTATGTCACATCTTATGTTTGCCATATGCCAATTTATCATCATTTAATGAAACCTTATTCACACACACACACATTTTTGGAACAATATATGTATTTTTTTTATAATGATGGATCTTTGTTTAGGATTAATTTGGAAGTATTGATAAACTAAATTTGTTTGTCCCTTTTTTCAGTCTGTCCACTGAGAGAGAGGATATTCAGGACCAGGAGTCTGTAAGCAGAGTTTTGGCCGAGCTGCTGGACAATCAGGAGGGTCTGTTTGATTCCGAGGATGATGACGTTTCCACCACCAACGACAACAGCTCCATCAACGAACAGGTTTGCTTCTTTTCCCTGTATTTTCTTTTTCACTCAACTTCATTTCTATCCTGAATGATGTAATTATATCTTTTCTTTTTTATATATGAAGTCGTTGCATAGTCTCATTTAATTATGTAATGATCAAGTGTTTGGATGATTTTTGTTTTATCCATTCATTGTCCAGTCCTACTCACGAGCAGTAAAATACAGATACCTAAGAGGAATTTACTGAAGGTAGTTAAACTAATGGTCATGTTTTAGACTGGGAGAAAGCTGGAGTCCCAAGAGAACCACATGGTCGCTCATCAGAGAAACTCGGTGCAGAAATATCTGAGGCAGGGGTTCAAACCGGGGAGCTTCTTGCTGCATGGAAATGGGGCAATGAAGACAGATCTTAGACGGCTGTGATATGGAAGTGCATTACAGACTGAAAAAACAGAAAAGTATTTAATTAGATATGTCCTCACTCCCAAATCTATTTTCTGCATTCCTTACCTAACGATAAAGATGATTAGTGACTTCCAAACATTTTCTTGTGTTCTTAAAAAAGAGGAATGCTGTATTTGACTCCTATAGGGTTAATAAATCAATTCAAATCTTCCGTACATAAATAGTCTCAGTTAAAAGTAACAGAACTCCTTTTATACGAGCTGCTCTTTTTATTAATAGTTTAACACAAATGCTTAACCAGAAAGTTTAATTTTGATCATTGAAGGCACTTAGTATGCAGCACTGTTGTGAGTTTGTTGGATTTAGGGGCGATCGGCCTCTGGGGGCTTAAAAAAGGTACCACAAATTAACTGAATTGGTTTATACTCAGCAGGGATGTTCAGTATCCTTGGACCAGGTCCTACTTTCATTAATCAGTAACTTGGCACAGTAAAAGCTCAGCCTTAAAAGAATAACTACAATTACTGTTTTCCTTGTTTTGACTCCAGTGAAGGCTGTTTATCGTACACATTTACAGGAATTAAATCTCTTACCTGGGAACAGATCAGTCTGTCTAATGGACTTCCATCAGAGTTAGCAAACACCGACAGCAGATGTGACATTAACATCAGTGGGATCTCTCTCATGCTGTGGAACAAACACATGATGAAAACATCAGAAAGTCCTTGCAGCAGAGCGTAGCCTTGCCACACCCTGCCTCACCTGCTCTACACTTAAAGGAAGCCAGTTGTCCATTAACCGACTCCTGCTTTCTACATGCATAGCTAACCTTTAACTTTACAGCTTTTTTTCTACTCTCCTTTTATGATATCCCGAAACAAAAATAAAATCACGGTTTATTGAAATAGGCCTTCCTTCTGCCACATTGAGCAGAATGATGTTCAACACTTCAGGAAACCTATAAAAAAAAACCTGAGGAAGCGAAAGTATGATGAGTCATTGGATAAGCATGATAGAAAACAAAAGATGCCTTCTTTACCTATGTGTGGTGTGGGACCTTTCCAAGAAGTTAGCCTTGTTTTTCTCCTTTTGGATTGTTTTTAACATTTAGCCTGGATATCAACCAGAGCTTTCTTCTTGCTTGGTGCCTTCGCCATGGTCTTAATCCCCTAAAATTAATCTGTAGCAATTTTCCTTCTTCTAAGGAAGAAAGCCGTGATCCTTAAAATCTCTGGCTTTTTCAGTATAAGTCTTTATTGGTGAAACACAGGATATCTGAAAACTATCAGTTAACTTATTTAGTAATTTAGTTCAGGCCGTGGATTTCATAGTTCATTAAATCCACTCAGATATGTGTATCAAGAATTTTATCTCTGTTAATATTAATGATTTGGCCCACAGTTAATAAAATGAAGAAAAAAAATCAGAAACATACCAATAAGAAGGGACTTCTAAAATAGAAATTTGGACCTACTGCAGACTATCTCCATGCATACAGCCTCCATAATCCCCTTAAATTTGCTGCTGTCCATGTTTTGTTTTTGTGTCTTTATTTCTCTAAGAGAATGACTACTAGACAGCTTCCCTTTTTTGAGTTGTACATAGTATATATACTCTCATTTACCCGAAATGAGAGTATAAATAATTTAATTTCACTTTTTTCAATTTATAATATACTATTTTTTGATTCAGTTTCTTTTTTTCTGGAGTATTCATTGAATAGAAGAGAGATCTGAATGCATATTTCTGTTCGCTGATCCACGTGTCTTATGTAAGACAGGGCAAAAAAGTAGGTGGTTTGGAAGAGGAGGGGGAGAGGAAATGGTTAGGAAGGTGGAGAGAGAAACGTCCAGAGAGCTCAGAGACCAAGAGAGAGGAAGAAATAAGCTTTTGATGACATAATGCAACTACAGGCTTCATGACTGCGTGAGACTGCACTGGGGCTTGTTCTCTGCACAAACAAAATATCATGAACGGGACCATCTCCCACACACACACCCATGTTCAGAGTTATCAAATGGCATAGATGTTCTGAGGTTTGTTGATTGTTTTTTGATTTTTTTTAATTTATTTATATTTTATGGAAGATAATACTAGTATAAAAAATCTTCCAAACGTTAAAAAATAACCATATTAGTTTCCATTTCAGGTTAGATGAAACCAAAAGCTTTTGTATTTTGACCTCAACTTTCCTGTGAATTTTTTATATATATTTTTTATAACTAGCCAGAATATGTAATGGATTCTACAACATCAAAGCTTTGCATTGTAGGGTGATTTATTTAAATGGAGAATTAAAGGTTCAGCTTTTCTGTGAAAGAAAATACAGTTTGTGACCCGATGCACTGACCAGATGTTCCTTAACTCTAGAGATTCACAATATTTCAGCATTAACATCAGTATTGGTTGATGTCCGTCATTATAGTTTATCAGTACTGTAAGTAAAACTGGACCAATATTAATGTTTTTTTGTGTGCGTGTGTTTCATGAGAAAATGCACATAGCAATCATTTCAATATGTTCTCTATTTTATTTTTTTTATTTTAGGATTTGTCTATTCTCTAAACACCATTAGGAATAATTCCTCCTAATTAAAAGCAGGCTGATTATCTTATCCATTTTGATCTGAAGTAGTGAATTTTATATTGGGATATAGTAAAACTGTAGAATATTTACACAGGTTTATCATCCTTTGTGGATCTCATACCATCTAATGACCCAGCTCACCTTAATGAATTACAGAAAAGTTCAGCTTCTTCACGTCATCAACAAATAAAGAAATTCTGTCTGTGTCAGACTAAAAGACCTGCTGTTGATAAACAATTGGTTTATTCTTCACAATAATGTCTAAACTTTTTTAGCTGTTTTCCAGTCTAACAAAGGGTTAAATCAGCCATGCAAAAAGGCCCTGAGGACTGTTGTTTGACTTGGTAGTGTCTGTATCATCCGGCTCCTATTGTTCTCTGTTCTTGGCCCACAGTCGCTTCAGTAACCAAGTTAATGATGTCAGTGCTGCTCGCCGATTTTCTTCTTGTTCCATCCTGCAACTTTGGACCGTCCTACCAAACATGGGCCAAGATTCTGACCTTTTGTTCCACAGTGTTCTCTGACTTGCCTTTTTTTTCCCACTCCGGCAGGCACAAACTGTACAGACAGCTTCTTGTGTGTAAAATCTGGACATAAATCCTGGTATTTAGGATCTAAAATCTCCACACATAACAAACTTCAGGGTCTGTTTTTAACCTGATTTCAGAGTCAATGTAATTAAAATTTCCCAGAATCTTAAGTAAGGGGATAATATTTTCATCCGCATGAATGAACTTGCAAGGTCATCCTGACGAGGGATTTAACTGCCTTTATCCTCCACTGTTGTTACGTCACCTCAAAGGCTTTCTAATGACTTACTCAGCACAGCTGCCATCACTCTCATAAGTCAGTTTATGCCAACTGAACAAGCAGCTATAGCCCATAGAGCGATTATACAACCGGGTTTCATTGTTTATTATATCAACCGCTTCATGCTAATGCATAAAAACAAGGGCATCATTCTATTTAAAGAGTCATTTTTCCAGTTCACTGACCAGGACGGCAGCCTTGATGGAATATGATGCTGCTGATCCAAGGTTAGGCTCATTTATTCTTCTTTCATGTTTTTAATGAATAACTTGGCTATTTTTTATGTTAATGTACCCTCCAACCCCCTCATTTAAAGTCAGAATTATTTTCTAAAGTTAACATAAATGTTAGAGAGAAAAGGTTAGGTTCAAGGGGAAGGAAAATGATGGCATGTATTTTTATTCGGACCTTTCCTGAGTTAGAACTCTATAGACCCACGTTTGGCTGCAGATGTTTTGGGGTTCGTCTCCAGTAGCTTTGATCATCTGCAGCCTGAAATCAGCTGACATTAGTTTTCAACTCTTTTCACCAGATTCTCAGTAGTATTTGGATCTGGTTGAACTTACAGTCTCATAGCATCTCTAATTTCCTGCTGAAAGGTACATTCTTCTCAAATAGAACAATTTCTTAATGGAATTCAACCTGGGTAATATTTCATATTTCTTGAGAGATCAGTGGAAGGTTTATATGTATGTGGCTCCATGTTCAATGGAGAAACAGATTAGCATTGCTCCTCTACCTCTGACTGCAGAAACGGGCTGCAGCATTTTAGAGAAGGGAGGAACTCGCTCACTCGCCACTCGCTGAAGAAACTGAACCATGGTTGAGTTTCTTCTAGAAGAAACCGGTGTCTTCTGGACAGGTGGAAGAAACTGGAAGAAATGTTTTTTTTTTTTTTTCTTCCATTTCTTCCAGAAGAAACTGGAACAAAGTCCTGGAATTGGATCATATTTTGGAGAACTGGGATAGTTCTACTCAAAAGTCAACTCACTATATCCACAAGGCTGCATAAAAAAAATCTTTAGGACAATATACACTGTGAAATAAATTAAGAATTTATCTAATTTATTAAATATATGTGATACAAATCAGGGAATAACATATTTAATACAGAAGTGATACTTTACTAATAGCCTTTAAATGGTAGGCAAACACTTTCTTGTATACTCGGATTATGCCAACCTACTTTCGTTTTCTTTCATTTCCTCTGCTATTTATGCCTCCAAACTACCCTGGTTAATAGATACTGAAACCTGCTTCAAGGTTATTACTGGATTTGGGCCTTAAGGCAAAATACTCATCAAAACTTTTCAGTAAATTTGACCTGTCAAGTTTCTTCCGCAAGAAGCCGGAAAAACCATGGAAATCCTGGAAAAAATGCAGTCTGGAAGAAACTTCCAAGTTTATGCTAATCTCAGATCTATCGGTGCATGTTTTGTAAAAAGAGTCTCCAACAAGACAGGAAATGGTTGCTAGTCGTTTAAAAAAAAAAAAAAGTCTGACACGTCCATGTTTTGGTAGGTCTGTAGTTGGTCGGATCATGCACTGAACAGAGCTCTGGGAGACGTTTAAAGCTAGAGTCTAACCCTGCTTTAAGCTGAATCAGAACGTTCTCCTTGCCCTCTCTGCTGGTCATCATGATGCTGCTGGTTGTCTAATCAGTCACCTTCATTCTAATGAATGAAGGTGACTGATTAAAAATGTATGCCATATTTATCAGATTGTTATTCAATAACTTTAAAAAATTGGTCTTCTTATGGTATATAATCGTCTTTGTTTCGATCATTCACACAAAACCCCTTTAAAGTATGTTGCATGTAAAAGAGTTAAATGAAGGTTATTTTTTGTTTTAAGCGCTGTAGTTCATAGAAATCTGAACAGCCTGGACAAAATGCAAAACATCTTTGGAGTGTTGAGTTGTGGTTTTATGGTCTGCACATCACCTAGAGCTCAGAGATGAAAAGCTGGAATCTGTTCTTACATGAGCGAATGAAAACCTGGCAGATGTGCATTATTAAAGTGCTGTAACTGCACTTTAATAACTTAATAAAATGGGTCTCAGATCCACAGAGCAGCTTTTATTTGCATGCTAATGTATTAATACAGAAACTACCCAAACAGAGGGGATCTTTATGCACTTACACACACAGCCTCATTCTCACTTTTATGAGTCATCCTCCCTGATCTGCACATGTGATGATGCAAGGATTCCAAGACAGCCAATCGGAGCTTTTAAAACAGAGCTGTTTCCATAGCAACAACATGGTGACAGCAGCAGATGGAGCAGTTGTTGTGAAGGAGAGAAATGCATTGGACAAACATTCTAATGTGCCCAGTTTAACCTTTAAACTTTTCTTCTTGGTTTGGAGTAAACTGACTCTGGTCTTAAAACCAAATTTTATTAGAAACCCAACATGGTTCTGCAGCACCTTGATTCAGCAGATGATTGTAGTTGATATTTAAATACTCCATCCCAACATAAACAGAGAAGTCCTTGTTCCTGGATTTAAGTACACCTCAGATCTTTGTTAGGTTGTTGCTCTCAGCTGTCGGCATAATTATCAGATTATTCTGTCAACAAGTTAAACCCCCTTCTCCTATCCTTCATCTCTTTTTCCATCGGGCACGGGATAAATTCATAATCACATCCTCAATCTGTCCTTGGGCCTTCGGTTCCAAAAGGTTAGACATGTGTTGTCCAAGTAGTTCTTCAACTAGTTATAAACATATTAATGAACAGTCTGAGGGTGTAGAACCCAAAGAGAAAAACCTAAATAGTGTTGGTGTAACTTAACATAATCCGACCAGGTTAGAGGTTGGTCATACAAGTGGTAAATATGTTTGTAAGGATGAATAGTGGTTAAGTGTGTTGTTGTAGAGCCATTTAGAAACACTTAGATATGATTTCCTCGCTGGAGTACATTGCTAAGTCATCTTGAAAATGAGACATAAGAGAAGCCTGCTGTCATCACCTCGGGCTTTACCTCCTCCTTACTCCATATCAGCTGTCCTTCTAAAATGACTCCTGATTTAGTGCATCTCTATCTAGTGTTGCTCTGTTTGTTACATGAGACCAATCTATATTTACAGGTCTAATAGATCAAACTAAATCATATCTGTCCTCCCTTACAAAAGTACAGTTTTTGTGTTAATAAGTCTTTTTGTTATTGCTTTAAAAAAAAAATACATGTAAAAATACAATAAAAAGGGAGGAAAGATTGCATTCTGTTGAAGGGAACTCTTCCAGAGGGTTTTGTCATGTAAATACTGTTTGTGGAGTCGCTGATCTTTTTCAAATCGTTTTTTTTCATTGCTCAACCAAAAGAGTTAAACATCCATCTGAATTTTTTGACTTCAACTAAAGGGAATTGTTTTATTTCACACTGTCTCTTCTTTTTTTGCAGTCGTATCACAAGTTCTTTCCTTATTATTTTCCTCTCATTTCTTTTGGGCTCCCTGTCCTAAATTCTCATAGTCCATATTTTTTGTGTTCAGATTACAGAGCTCTGTGATGATGATAAGTGCGAGGCAGAATGTGAAGAACTGCCGCAGGACGGGGAGGAAGGACCCGCTGCCTCCGACTCACCCACACACACACACTCTGACGACCCCACAGCCAGGTGAGTCACCTCAAGGGTTCAACTAATCTAGTTAATGTTGCTGATGATCTTCCTTCCTATGTCTTAATTTTTTAGCTTTTATCAAAGTCATTATTTCTCAAAAAACAATCAAACATTACTTTTGTTATTTGAATACTTTGCTCCTTTGAGGAACTTAGAAGTAGATGACATGTTAACTACATATTTTACTAAATGAGGGCTAGTGTTTGTTCAGCAGTCCTCAGCGATATAAGTTTACAAAGCTAAAAGAAATGTTAAATGGGCTGTACCTTTTCAAGTCAAAAGGGACTCCTGGACTACATCAGATCATTTATGCATTTACACACATGGTGGCACGGTCCATATCCACCGTTGCCCTTAGGAACACTGACAGAAGTGAGGCTGGCGTACACAGGCACCAGCAGGCCTTCTGAACACCATCAGTACTAGAATGTAAATTATTAATTTGTTTATTAATATAAAAATAATTATTCCTTTCAATCAACTAACAATTAATTGATAAGCGGACTTTTTTTTTTATTTATCCGACTTTTCCCTTTTATCTGTAAGATCTCTCTTTAGCATGAAGGGTTTAACATTTTTTTTTTTTTTTTTACAATATGCTGAGTTAAATAAAATTGCACAGGATTATATTTTATCGATCTATTGTACCAGCTGTAATAAATAGTGACTGCATAAAGAAAATATTTTTTATTACAAGCTATTAAACTCAACATATTTATATCAGATATAACCTAACAGGGAGATATTAAGTTGCAGAATAAAAAGAGAGTAAACAAATTTATGATTTTCAATGAACAGAGATGTAAAACTGTCATTAAAAGACGAGGTAAGAAGTTGATGGCTTCGCTGCCTATCCACTCTTGGTCAACAGTCTTAACAAAATATTTACGTAACAATTTTTTAAATTATATTTTTTTAATTACTTTTTTTGCGTTTTTACGGTACTAATGGCTCCTCTTTTGGACAGTAGGCTGTCAGGAAAGGGGGTACAAAAGAGTGGAAGAGAAATACGGCAAAGAACCACTGGTCGGATTCGAACCCGGGTCGGCTGCATTGAGGATAAAGGCCTCTGTGCATGGGTCGTGTACGCTAACCACTGCTCCCCCATAGCACAGCCCTTTATGTGACAATTGAAGTAGTTTTTGAAGTGTTTAAATGTACAGTCAGATACGCATGAACTGTGTTTTGCATCTTTGCTGCCATTAAATGGTGTAAATAATCGCATGCGGGACTTTCAATTAGTGCATGATTTTTTCTATTTTTATTTTCCAGCTTACATGTGTCCGCTTGGGCATTTCTTCTCTTGCAAAAACCAGTAAGGCTGTTTAAAAGTAAAGAGCAGCCCCTTCTCGTGTATGGCGGTAACAATACAAAACTGAAAGCTATTTCAATTAATCAGATATAAAAAAAATTACATTTTATGAGACATTATTCTACAATTAATAGTAATTTGAGTATTTGGATACAACTCTAAACACAAGTGTCTTACCTAAAGACAGAATGATTGCGACGAATGACACTGGGATACAAACGATCTTCTGGTTGCAGTGCGAACTCCTGCATCCTTTGCCACTGTCTTCCCAAAACACCTCTGTGGTCACAGCTGATTGAAAATATAAACACCACTGAAATGTTGAAACTGATCCTAAATTAAAAGGGCAGTCTGTGTGACATTAATGTTTTTTCACCAGTTTGTAATGTATTCCTGATGGACACGACAAAAATTTTGCATTTCAATATAAAATGCCTCTGACTAAAAGCCTTAATGTTCCTTTAAACCACTGCAGTGGTGATCAATTAAACCCAATATCTGTAATAGAACAGACAACACAGGACATTTCCTCACCACATAAATTTGTATCACGCTGTTGGAGAGACTAAGATGTCTTAGTTAAACTGTCACTTTCTAAAATGACAGGCTCCACTTTTATCCCTGCTGTTTTTGTAGTCTGCTCTCACCACGCTAGTAAGCCTTTCTCTGAGTAATCAAGGTTCCCCCTGCTGCTTTCCAAGGGGATCAGGTCAGTAATCCAGCCTCCAAAACCCTCTGTAGAATAAGCAGATGTAGCTGATGGTTTCGTTTCACATTCAGGGAACCATGTAAATTCGATAAAGCTTGGAAAACCGTTTTTAATGATTGTTTTGCTTAATATTTGCTATAAACAACCTGCTGGCTAAAACAGACATTGTGCCTTTATCCTGCTGACCTTCCAAAGTCCCCTCTCAGGTTTGGGGATTACAGCTATTTTTGTAAAGACAACAGTCTATAACACCAGGCTTTGTAAATGGAACAATGCTCCATTACTGTTGTGGTTTAGAAATGCCTTAGACATCAAACAAATCTTGTTTGATGTCTAAGGCAATAATAATAATATCTTGACTTAACAAATAAAGTATTGTTCATTGAGTTATTTTTGTATTTAAAGCAGTATATTTTTATAAGTCCTACCTTTTATTATCAAAAACATGTTATTATTAGATTACTGTAATTATTAGATTACAGATTATTAGGTTTAAAAGCAGATGGAAAAAATATGACACTTTTCTGCACGTCCTGCCAAGAAAAGATAAACACCAACTTTTGTCTAATTAAGCGAGCAGATGAGTTTCCCCTTGGAAAAAGAACTCAGCAGTTCAGATGCTCCTTCTGCCAGCAGGTTCCCCACTGGAATGTTGACTTTCATCAGTCAATAAAAAATGAGCTGCAGTCAGATGGAAATAAATGTGATCCTGAGAAGTTCCCAGAACTGAAAGAGAGCTGAGCGTAAAACTAAAGAGCGTCAGTGAGTCAGTTATGATGCACAGTCTGCAGCATGTAAATAGCTCCGAACAGTATAGATCTGTTTCCGAACTCAGAACAGCATCTAACAAAAGGGAAGCTAGAACTTTTTTGAAAAAATAAATAAAAATGTTAATTAGAAATTGAATACTATTCACCTGGCTTTTTTTTTTTTTTTTTTTTTTGCAGTGTATATTTTAAGCAGTTGTAGGCATGAATTTTCTGAATTTATCACTGTGTGGGTGACCTTCAGCTTGTGCCTACAAAGCAGATGAAGTTGGGTTCCTGTTTCTCAACATGTTTTTCTACTGTGTGACAGACAGGAGAGGCTGCCCTCTGACGCCTGCACCGCTCTCTTAATAGCATCTGACAGCTAATACACACATTAGAGACTCTGAGCCTTTCCTCCTCCATGTCTATATATAATATCCTTCTCCATGACCCAGCCGTTAGGTGTTACTCTCTGTGGAAAGTCTACTTGGTGAGTTCACTGAAATATCTGTGGACTCACCAATGTCCTGGAGCAACAGACATTGCTTCCTGCAGGGAGTTGGAGCAGAAGGAATGGATGAATTAATAAAGGAAATGAGGGATTAGAATGCAGACAGATCTGTGAGGGAAATGAGGATCGCTTATCAGGATCAATCTATTGATTTGCAGTCTGAGTGAAAATCCAAAAGAAGAATTTGTCAGAGTACAAGGTCATTCTAGACAATAGAATTTTAGCTCTTTATTGAAAACTTGTCATCAGTTTCATCCTTGAAGAAAGAAAAGCTCTGCTTCTACTTCTGCTTGCCGTTCCTCACTAGTAGAAACTTTATGGCCTAATCTACGGATGTACTCATGCAGACGATCTCATGAGGCAGAAAACCCATCTTGTAGCTCGTAAAGGTTTTTCATCTAAGATTATTTTAATGTGGGTGAATGTTTAATGGCCTGTATTACCCCGGAAGAAGCCATCCCTTTGCAGCACGTGCATGGCCCAAAAATAAACAGAGGACAGACACTTAGGGATGCCTCGCTCATGTTCTGGATGCATTTACTTTTACCGCCCGCAGAGAGCACCTTATCAGTACTATAAAAGCATAAACACTTGTCTAAACAGTCTCAACCATTTATTGTGTGTCTCACCTCTTGAGGTGGGTCTAAGAAAACTTTATGTATTTACTAATTTTTTTAGCTTACAGGATTTTTAAGTTAGGAATTACGGTCTTATTTTAGACATCCTGAAAAAAGGGACAGATATCTAGCTTTATATGGTGCCACCATCTATGAAAAAGATATTTAATCCCTCTTTATGTACCACAGTACTGAATTAGCAGTCATTCTAATCTTCAGGAATTGTTTTTTCTAGTGAGAAGCTTGAAAGAGATTTGATCATCAGTCGGACATGTTTTTCCTTTTAACTTTAAGAGATGTACAAATCAAAGGTTAATGTTTATTCTTTCGAGGTCAAAGATAACCTTTGGATATGATATGCCTTCATGATCTCATACATGGACACACATGAAGTTTATAGGTCGGTACAGCTGTGAGCTTCTGTGGTTTTGACCCAGTTTATCCCATTATACTTTGTTTTCCTCTGGGGTTTGAAACCAGACTCTGTAACCTTTATGTGATCTGATCATTTCTCTTTATTTTAAACAACGAAAACCCCTTATAATGACACTTAATAAAACAATCACTGAAGGATTTTCTTAACCTTAAGCAGCCCAGTTTAATGCTAAGCTCTGTAACTTGGCAGAGTAATTTTAATGCTTCTGTAAAGAGTTTATCTAATCAGTTCAACCATCCAGAGAGAGGTTTTTCATTTCATGCCCCCTCTGTCCCTCCCTCCTTAATCATGTGGATGCCCGGCTGCCAGCATCAGACACAGAGTGTTACACGATACCCTATCTGACCCAGATAGCACCACTTCCCGACTGGAACTATCTGTTCTCACCCACAGTTCTAATTTAGATGTCCTTTTTAGACTGTCTGATAACTCACACATTTTTAAAGCACCTCTGGAGAGAAGTATGATGATCTTAGTTTACAAACTGGTGACCTGAAACTCAAACAAATTTTTGTTTTTGGGAAAAATCATTTTTTTTAAATGAAATTTAGAATTGGATTCTTTATAGAGTATCTGCACATTTTGGTAATGCTGCCTTATTAAACTTAAAATATGTCATAGAGCAACTTTTGTTATTTCGTTTATTTAATATGATGTGTATGA